AAGCGGAGGAGGGGGATGGCAGTAACGGTAGCGAACCTTGAGGCTGCTGCTGGGGATGTTGGAGATGTAACGGCGGCTGTTGATTCTGCAGGTAGTGAGAGGGGGGAGGCGGCTGTTGTGAATCAAAGGACTCGCTCGAGCTGAAGGCGGTGTTATGGGACGAGGACAAGGCTGAATGGGGGTTTATGGCGGAAGGATTGTTGGCGCTCGCATTAGCACTGGCAGCGTTGGCATTGGCACCGACCGAGTGCGAGTGGCCGAAGTGGGCGCCGTGGGAGGCTGAGTCTGCCTCGTCAAGGAGTTGCTGGTGCTGCTGAACTTGATAGTGTTGATCCTGCTGGATCTGCTGCTGCTGCGCTGGATCTGCTGCTGCTGCTGGATCTGCTGCTGCTGCTGAGCCTGGTGGCTTGGTTGACGCTGGTGGCCTGCCGCTTGAGGAGTCGCAGCACTACCGCCTGTCGGAGTTTGGCTGTTGTTCGTTGGGGTTGAAGTCGCAGGCGTCTTGGACGAGTTTCGCGGCTCACTGAGCGCATGCGATGATCGGTTGCTGTGCTTGCCGAGGAAGTTCCTCATACTGCGATTGCGATTGCCGTTGCGGACGGCAGATGAGGAGGGAGTTCGGAGGAGGTAATCGCGCACAGCGAGTGTCGAGGTGAGGTCGGAGAGAATGGAACAGGCGGAAGTTATGGGACGCAGATGAGAGAGATAGAGTCCAATGCCAGCTAAGGTAGGTGAGGTAAGTCAACCTAAGTCCTGTAAACTACTAACTAAGGGAGGTCACTATCGAAATCGGGGCAGTACATCAAAGCAATGTACTTCTTTGAGCCACCTACCTACCCTTACCTCCACTACTAACCTGTACCTATAGAAGCAATGGAGGGCACCGATCGGACGGGACGGGACACGACGCAAGCTGATTGAGCTATCCCGTCAGCCCGTTCTAACTTCTGCCTATGTCTAGGTGGGTGGGTGCCCGTGCTGAACCCGCTGCCATGGATGGGCCGTAGTTAGTGGATGTTCAGCGCCTTGCTTGCTACCCGGGCTGCTACCTAAGTACCTATGCAGACCTCTTGGACACCAAACATCCGTTGGATCCCTGGATCCCTAGAGAGATTGGGTAGCAGAGGGCTGATAAGGCGGACACGGTACCACTCGCTAACATGTCTTTGGGTTGTGTTCCGAGTTATTAACTTGATCTATTGCGCGGCCGATGCTATTCATTCGTGTATATGGGGTTCATCTGGTCTTGACACGAAGTAGACAAGGTCTAACTTAGTACGGAGTACATACATTGAAAGCACAGCCTCGACTCACTATACCCTGCGGCACTATGTACATTCGTATGGTGATAGGCAGGCCTAGATTTTTTGTGACCAAGACCCTGAACTGGATTGCGAAACGGAAAGTTACAACATGCTACCCAAGACTGATGGTTTTTAAGCAGATGGATTGTTACCTCTTGGTATAATCGGACCATGCACGAGTGACGAGACAACTCCAGTTGAGACAATCGGATATTAGCCAAGACCTCGAGCAGCGTTAGCACGTTCCATGTAAATCTGCCAATCTCCTCTACTGCAGGTGACATATTCTGGAATATGGATGCTCGTACCGACAGTTACTGTATCCACTAGCGTAGCCGATGCACTACAACCTTTGGATGGTCAGCATCGCGTTGGTTGAGTTTTTTCTCCTCTAGACAGGCTACACAGGTCGGGTTCGTCCACTTCCAAGCTTCTCGTACTCCGTACATGTCAGCAATAAGCCCTCCTATGAGAGCTAGTACTTCAAGCTTTGATCACTTCTCACTTGCGGTTCATCAGCCTTGTCGGAAGTTGTCTCGGTAGGTCCTTGTTTCTTGAGCGGAGCACGCTGGCCAGACTGGCCTTGTGGGCACTGGATTCTGTTGAAAGGAGGCTGTGTCTGCGGGTTGGGTTCCAATATGTGATCCTACGGTTGAAAGACGATGCCGCGTATTGCCGGTTGTTTTGCTAATGATTGATGTAGGTTAGGTAGTCCAACGCGACCATGTGGTTATAAAGATCTCAAAAGGTATTCAATATGTTCTATCATTGACTCGTCCTGTATAATGTGATGTTCGTTGCTATCACATGAAAGCTCTACAATCCAGTCTTTTTAACTGGTCGTCTTTAATTTTGAATCTCGGTGTATCCCACAAGCCGTGCACACCCTGGCAATTTGATACTATGAATAGCAACTCATAAGCTTCCTGTCATACAGAGGTGTGTGTTGATCCAGTATCAAGTGTGGCAGCACCAGGACTTGGCTAACTCATGCTTCTCACGACAAGTCAGATCTAGCTGGTGGCCCAGGTCAACATCTGAAGTCCCTCCGTTATGATGAGCTACCATGTCTTGGACAGCATTCCTCTTTTCAGCTTACCATACAATAAACGGCCCAGGGCTACCTTAGCTAACTTAAGGCCGAGTCTCAATTGTTGTGACCGTAAGACCCGAATACATGTAACATTTCAACTAAAGAATATGTAATGTATGAGAACAACTTAGGGTGCCATGAATTGAAGCAAATACCATCGCCTAGCAGTATATTGTCGTCTTTTAGTAATATGTTAAACATCCCTGGCCCAAAAATCTTCATCAACCTATGTCTAGGGTAGGCTCATAGGGAGAACTCTCACTCCAAGACGGCGATTAATTAATTCAGCGACCATGGCTTCATCTTTTATAATTCGGCTTCCAACCTACGCAATGAGTCCGAGGACATCGATATATAAATCTATGGAAACCTTCAGAAGAAAACCCAGCACCCTAAAAGAACTCATTCGTCGAGCATTCACGCCAACAATACCTGACTTCACCTGCTCACAGGTGGTCCAACAATTAGCCATTCACCATTACATCTGAACGAGAACAACCCGACTCGATGTGCTTTGGTGCGACTTGCCCAACGTGCTGTGAGTTCTGTCGTTCCTCCACGCCAATTGAGTTTGTGAGATATGAATTGACGCCTATATAGCGAAGAAGTCCTGGCGTGGGTGTGGTAACCACGTTCAACAAGTCTTCGACGGAGTGCCACAGGCTGAATGGTGTACTTGTACCCCCAAAACCAAGATCGGCAGCAAGGAATATCCTCCTGCTGCTCCCATGCAGATTCCGGGCCTGAGTTGGATTTCTGGCATGCTTGGGGGAGGTAATCATCAGAAACCTGGCGGTGATAAGAAGCCAGAGCTATGAAGTTATACATCCGGGCATCATATCTCTGCCACACTATCAATCAGCTGTCTGGATAACATGAATGCGGGGATTTACAGGGGTGAGAGGTCCGGAAGTCGGTAGTCTGGATTTCATGACATGAAATAGGGCGTCGAGTCATATGCATACCTTAGATGCCGGGGTCGGGGTTGGGGTTTGGAATACTATGGGGAATTTTCAACGTTGGTTGTTTGTATGGTTACATATGTAGTAGACGAGGACGAATGGCATGCGTGAGAAACTGGACGAATCATAGACAAGTTGTACTATATAAATTGCTATGCCATATGCTGAAATGGTATAGAAATTAACATCCGTATCTTTCAAGTCACGATTTATAGATAGCAATTCCATGTGGATGTTATCTTTGATGCTAAAAGCAGGTGGATGCGGGAATCCCCAGAATGTGGAGAAGACCCTACTCAACAGGGGACAAAGAAGCGACAACTAGATCCGGATATGTAATAGAGAGAAGATTAAAGGGCGTGACTGGTTATGGATCAACCTATCTCTCGGTTACGCAGCAATCCCCCCCCCCCACACGAAGTAGACAATTCGGGCTTGGACCCGACGAGTTGGAGTCATATCGGAGCGCTTCTATCTCAGATCAGATCTCGTGATAAGAACCTCAACCTAGCCGGTCAATGCCATTGCTGGCTCCAACTCTCCCTCTTTCCCTCCATGAAGTGAGAGAATCAGCCTTCAATTAGTCAAGTTCAAACATATCAACGTTGCTATGATGTTGATGCTATCACCAAGCTTCATGCTTGGAGCTGCTGCTCTCCTGGTTGTCACTCATCTCATTATCCGTTTGACTTCGGCCACGGCAAAGGTTCCCGGTCCCTTGATATCCAACTTCACCTCACTTGTACTGAAATGGCACGAACTCAATGCCAACCGTACCGTGTACATTCACGAGCTTCATAAGAAATATGGCACCGTTGTCAGGATCGCACCCAATGAGGTCTCATTCACTTCGATTGATGCTCTCAAAGAGATTTATGGTTCCGGTGGTAGCGGATACGACAAAACCGAGTTTTATGACCTCTTTCAAGTCTACGGCAAGCGGTAAGAACTCACATCATAGGAGTGGGATGCTGGTTCTGACTGTGCCTTACAGAACAATGTTCTCAACACTGGTTAAAGGCGATGTAAGTTCAGATTAGGAGTCGTCATGTTTAGTCAAGCTAACTTTCTTCCAGCATGCGAAACGACGGAGGATGATTGGCGATAGATATGCCAACAGCAACGTAATGAAGCAAGCCCCCTTGGCCGGGATACAAGAACGCTCCAAGAGGTTTGTTGAGCGTTGTGTTGACTCACCTGACAAGACGGCAGACGTATTTGTAAGTAGAGTGATTCTTTCTTTCCAGGGTATGCTAACAAACTGATATAGAGAGGTTAGTACCGACTACAAGGAGCAGAACCGGTTAAGGAGAACGGCACAGCTGACCAAACCAGCGTTGCACGCATATGCTTGTGATTGCGTTACGCACCAGTTGTTCCACCCATATGGAAGCAACTGCCTGCAAAACAAGGACGACGAAGAAATGATGCATCAAGTTGCTGCCGATGACAGTCTTCAAAGTAAGCACTCGAATGCCAAAGATCACACGTTGGAGCTCACAAGGAAACTCAGACCGTCTGGTCCAGTACTACAGCCCGATTCTTCACCGTCTTGGATCCAGCATTCTGACTAGCTTTGCCAAACCTCGACTGATTCCTCTGGCCGACAATTTTGTAATCGAGAACGCCAAAGAAGATGGTGCAGCAGATTTCACCGTTCTAAACCGGCTTAAGGAGAAGGATAGCGTCCTTGATACTATCGACATGGCTGCCGAGTGTCTCGATCATATGGCCGCTGGCATCGATACGACCGGCGATGTCCTCTGCTTCTTGATGTGGGAACTCTCACTGCCCCGATCGACAAAGTATCAACGACTTCTGCGAGACGAGTTTCGAAGCAAGCCTGACGCCAACTTTGACGAGTTGCCCATGCTAGATGCTGTCCTGAACGAGGGACTGAGATGTTTCCCCGCTATTCCAATGTCATTGCCTCGATACGTTCCCCACGGCGGCCGTGTCATCGATGGCTTCTCCTTACCCCATAAGACAGTTGTCAGTTGCCAGGCCCTTTCGGTTCACCGAATTAATGATCATGTGTTCCCCGAGCCGGACAAGTTCTACCCTGAAAGGTGGTTGGAAGCCGATGGAGATGCCGACCGACGAAGACACCAATGGGCCTTCTCTAGTGGAGGAAGAGGATGCATCGGGAAACAGTGAGTAGCTCTGCCGAGTTTAAATAACCAAGATGTTAACACGTGCTGCAGCCTTGCCATGGCGGAGATGAAGACCCTGCTGCGAGACGTGTATTCACGGTACGAAACTGAGCCAGATGAATCAATGAAGAGCGAATCTATGGCGATGGACGATCAACTGATTTCCTCGCGACCTCTTGGAAAGCGATGCCTTCTCAAGTTCGTGCCTGTGAAGGGCTGAACTGAACTATAATCCAAACGAGTTGATGAGCATTGACGAAGGGACGGGAGTTTGATCGGGACATCAGAATCACGATTAGCACACATACACATACATACGTCAAACAGTCTAGATTGTGCGATTGTCATATGCTAAAGGGTGGGATCGGCAACTCGGCGATAGGGATATCAAAAGCTCAAACAAACAATTACAGCTGAGGGTAGAGGGTGTTTCTATCGTCTATATAAGAGAAACTCACAATCAAAACCCACTTCAAACAAACAACAGATCGTGATTGCATTCGTCGGTTGGAGTTTGTGGCTTTTAAATCCGAATACACCGATGTCGTATTTGTCATTCTCCGGCTGCATCCCCGAAATCACAACGTGAAAAAAGGCAACCATCAAATCGATGCGAGTGCGTAGGTTGGGTTGCGTTCACTGCCTGGCTTGCACGTGTACAGTGTGAGGAAAATTCAATATTACCTTAAGAAGAACGGAGTGAACTGGAGGGCTTGGCAGTTAAGCATGGGGCGCTGAGGACAGACCTACAGGAGCCCGCCCAGGCTAGGGGAGGAAAGAAAACTCAGGACCTTGACCCTAAATGATAAAAATCTTTAGGTAAATTTAGCCTAACCTTAGGGCACTTTTTGCTTAGTTTATTTTGACACCTTATATCAAGGTTCGGTGTTTTCTTGCCCCCTGAGGCCAGGCTCCCCCCACCTGGCGAAGCGAGCTGTGTAACAGTGGATCACTACCTGGCATGAGCGCTACGAACCGGGTGAGGCGCTGAAAGTACAGTGATTGATCATCTGCCTCCTCGGGCACTGTTGGAATCAAACCTGGAAACCTCGGGCACTCAGATTTCAAGGTACCTACCTAGTTATGGAGTAAAGTTTTCTTATTACCTGAGGTAGTGTTTCAAACTTTTGGGGAAGATTTCTAGTCTTTGTAACTTCTTTGTTGGCAACACAGTATCAGAAAAAAGTATCAAACAGTATCTTCAGTACTAGGTAGTTACTATCTGGGCCATACTCTGACAGTTTTGATCACAACATCACAGGTATTGGTTCTTCTGATGGATGTTGACTGAATCTGAGGTTGTGTCAGGTTTTTTTTGCCGCTTGCCCCATTCTTTAGCGTCCCTTCCGGGCTTCCAAAAAAACAAAAATCCCGGTCGGCCCTAACGTCGCCCCTCCCTCCTTCTTAACTCACCCACCTGGTTGCTCCTCTTTTGCACTTTTTCTCTTCTTCTTCTTCTTCTTCTCCTCCTCAACATCACACTCTGCATCTCATCGAGACAGCAAATTTTAACTCAACTCAACCGAGCGCCCCTGAACTCATCGCGCCAAGCGCATCTCACTCCCATACTTGCCTGTTGACTCTTCCAGTCGCAGCGCGCATCGCCTCCCTGACTCCCCCGCCACTTATACCTGGCTCACGAACTTCGCATCGTTAATAGTGTAGTGTTGGCCTTGGAGTACCATCTTCGCCGGTCTTCGCTTGCTCCCTACGAAATCGGACCTCCCGAACACATATTTCCAACGAACCACACTGCTGTTTATGTATCAGCACGACCAGCTCTCCGTCTTCAGACACCTCTTCAAGCTACAGTTATTTCGCATACCGCGAAAGCCTTGTAGCCCCGACATCAGTTCCGACGGTTGAAATCTAGAGACACCATTGTCGTCTATGCATCACCACCAGCATCCGATCATACACCCGGTCTGCCACATGTCAATCAAAAATCATCAAGAGCACTGAAACCTTCCTTGCTCCGCCTACCCTCAAGTCATCTTCTGCCGCCAAGTCTATACATGACATCCTCGTCATTTCACGACTCTATCAACCACTAGCCTCGCTCACCCGCCTTGCGCTGTCAACTCTATCTTTCAGACAGTAATTACTCAATACCGCCATCATGGCTCTCGTCAACGTTCGTCGCGATGTCAGCGATGCTTTCTATCGTTACAAGATGGAGCGTCTGCAGACCAAGATCGAAGGTAAAGGAAACGGCATCAAGACCGTCGTCGTCAACCTGAGCAGCGTTGCTGCCTCTCTTGCCCGTCCTGGTTCTTATGTCATTAAGTACTTTGGTTTCGAGCTTGGTGCTCAGACCAACATTGATCCCAAAGACGACCGTTGGATCATCAACGGTGCTCATGATGCCCCCAAGCTTCAGGATCACCTCGATGGTTTCATCAATAAGTTCGTCCTCTGCAAGAAATGCAAGAATCCCGAGACCGATGTTGTCATCAAGGATGATCGTATCCTGCTTGACTGCAAGGCCTGCGGTCAGCGTACCGATGTCGATATCCGCCTCAAGCTCAGTGGCTTTATCCTCAAGAACCAGCCCAAGAAGGGCAAGAAGGACAAGGCTGAGCGCAGGGCTGCCAAGAAGGCTCGACAGAACGGCAATGCTGCCAACGGCACCAACGGTCAGAATGGTGCTGGCAGTGATGAGGCATCTGAGAACGGCTCAAACGAGAACGGCGACGAGGACGTTGGCAGTGACGACGAGTTCCAGAAGGTTGCGGCAGAGGCCGCCGAAGCCGCCCAGGAGAACGAAGTCAAGGAGCATGAATGGGCTGTTGACATGAGCGAGGAAGCCGTCAAGGCCCGTCAGGCCTCTCTCCCCGGCGAGTTCAAGCAGAAACTCAGCATTGGCGATGATGATGATGAAGAAGGCGAGGGTGGCCCCACCATCTACGATGAGCTTGGCGACTGGATTCAGTCCCAGGCCGAGGAGAAGGGCAGCGTTGACAAGGTCGAATCCATCGACATCTATGTCAAAGCCAAGGAGCTTGGTATTGAGGGCAAGCATCGTAGTGTTCTTGTTCTTGTCCAAACCATCTTTGACAAGAATATTGTTGCCCAAATTCCCAAGCGTGCTAGCATGCTCAAGCAGGTATGCTGAATTCTGGTTTTATGGAAGCCTCCACATACTAACTTGCTACAGTTTGTTACCTCTGAGCGTCACGAAAAGGCTTTGCTCGGTGGAACCGAACGTCTTGTCGGTACTCTGGCCGCTGACCACCCCGAGATGTTCCAGTCCATCGTCAAAATTCTCCAGCTCTACTACCACTATGACCTGATCAGCGAGGAGGTCGTGACCAAGTGGGGATCCAAGGCTAGCAAGAAGTACACTGACATCTCCACCTCCAAGAAGGTTCGCAAGGCTGCTGAGCCTTTCTTGACCTGGCTTGCTGAGGCTGATTCGGAGGAGTCCTCTGACGAGGAGTAAAATCCTGTTTATGTAGTCTTCCATTCCCGTGTGATCCTTGATTTGCTTCGTGTCTTGTGTGTTTTGCTGGTAGGCTTCTGTGGTGCATTGTTGCATTCACTTTGTTGACAGCTTAGTGCAGTCTGTGCTCTTAGATGCTCAGATAGTTGAATGTTATTGCTGGTTTTTTGCCCGAAACCTGATGTTTTTTCATGCGCTCTGCCTTTTTGTAAGTGCAAGAGGCAGCGAAATGCTTGTGATCGATGACTACCTGGTTCGCACTAAATATGGGAATATCGCTTTGCCCATTGCCAACGAGTTCACCTGAGATTGGTCTATACGTACAGATAGTTCACACGATTATTTCGACATGCTCCATCTTGGTATTATGCTTCTGTCATCGTGGCCTCCTTTGCTTCGGCGCTCTTGGTGGTATCTTCCTCCTCGTCCTTCATAGCTGTGTCCTCACTGAAGTCCTGCTTGCCCTCAATTTCCCCATAAATGAAATTCCCAATAGTCTTGACTGCTTCAACATCGTCGTCGTCGATAATTGATGTGTCAAACAGCTCGTCGACCTTACTCAACTCGAGTTCTGTAGAAAGCTTTTTCATGATATCTTGAATAGTAGATTCATCTTTGCCCGAAGCTTCGAGGCGCTGCTTGAGAAGTTCAGGGTTAGATGTCTTGATGAGCACGTAGCGTGCCTGAAAGTCCATATCCTTGGCATATTGGGCAGCCTGACATGTAACATGTCAGTAAAGTACTTTTTCTTCTTCTTCTTCTTCTTTTTTTGGATGATTGTTTGACTTACCTCGACATCTAGTTCGATGATTGGCACTTTGCCACTCTCTGTGATGGCCTCGATGGCCTTGAAACTGGTTCCGTAATCGACGCCGTCCCGAGTACCTGATTCTATCAAGCGGTCCCCATCTCGCAGCTGGTTGAATTCTTGTTGCTTGACAAAGTGGAAACTCTTGCCGTTAACCTCACCCTCAATAGGCCCTCGTGTGGTATGGCGGACAACAGGAGCGAACACGCCCTTTCGCTCTTCCATAAGTTTTCTGATAATGGTTGACTTGCCCACGCCTGTGACGCCAGAGATGATGATAGGTTCTCGGTTGGCGGGCATAGCTTCTTCACTTGCTGTGGGCTCAGCAGTGTCCTCGATATCATCCACTTCTGTAAGCTCTTCGAACACGATGTCAATCTTCTTAGGATCTTCTATCTTGTCGAGCGCGGCAAGCTTTGAGCGCGCTGCGATTCGTAGTGCTCTCCAGCTCTTGCTGGCCTTGCCAGCGATAGCAGCAGCTTTAGTCTGGTCGTTTGTTGGCATATCAATCTCAAAATCGTCGTCAGCAATTTTACGCTTGAATGTATCGAGCTCTGGTAGCTCATAGCGCTCCTTGGTTTTGAGTCGACTCATCGCTGCCTCTTCATCCTCCTCCTTAAGAAAGTCCAGGGAAACAGAGCCCATAGGGACGGACCTTAGCCGCTTGCTGGTAGCCATTTTCTGGACGTTGGCCTTTGCCTCAAGAAAGGATGCCGGCGAGACTGGGTCTCTCTTGATGGGGTGACAGCCTTCAATCTTCCAGCGAACCCAGTTCTTGTCTCTAGCCAGCACGGTTTCTACCATTCGATAAAAGTATGGACCATCAGCACCCTGGCGGAGGTAGTCCGCAATAGTCTTCTTCATATCACTAGCCCATTCAGCCTGGCAAGGGGTTAGCTGAAGCGCTCTCTGCTGTGGTCGTAGTTCCTGAAACACTTACGTCTTCGTCACTCAGGATTTGGTCACTGTA